AGGGGCCCGGCACCCTCTGAAAGTGCTTCCTTCTGTGAGGAGGGCACAGGGCCTGGTGAGACCCCTGACACCTCTGCTCAGTCCTGACCAGACTGTGTCCTCCCCAGACCCAGCCAGCCGGCTCTCACCTCTAGGGGCAGGTGCTCTACGTTTCCTGATGATGGCGATGGTGATGGAGATGATGATGATGACGATGACAATGAAGGCGACAGACAGGAGAGGAATGAGGATACGTGAAATGTCACGGTTGGACTGTTTGGTCTCTGGGGACTTTGTTGGTGGCGCTAAACCAAACCAAAAGAAAATATCAAAAGCCCTGTCAAATCTGAAATCCTGTCCAAAGCACTGCGATGTGTTTTCCACAGGTAGCACGTGCCAGCCGACATTCTGGCTCATGGGACGGCCATTCTATCAGGTTCGGGGTGTGAAGATTGGGAGGGGCTGCGCCCTGTCCTCGCGGAGCTCAGAATTCAGCTAAAGGAGATGGCAGATGATCCTCACAGTTTGCCAGGCTTAGTGTGGGTTGACCTTTTGAGGACAACAGAATTTGGGGGTGCTCAATTCTGTCTGGGATAAAAGGTCAAGGCCCCCCATTCAGTTACCTGTGGGCTCCAGCATTCCCTCCCAGTGCGGGAGGAATTCTCCAAGCCACTGACTGCAGTCTCCCTTGGAGATCCTCCTGAAATAGTCGGAGTTGCTCTCTAACTTGTACTTGACCTCGCTGGCTCCAGGACCCACGGCTGACCACTTCCCATTCACGGCATCGAAGAGGAGGGTCGTCTGTCCATTGAGGCTGAACTCCCAGGATGCACCAGTGCCTCTCTGTGCTTCACACTGACAAGACAGCATGGCCTGCAGGGTGCTGGGACCTGCCATCCAAACAAACACCTGTATCACTGTGGCGCCCCATTTCCCCCACGAGTGGGGGGTCAGTGTCTCTGCACAGGAAAGGGCCGGGGTTCTCCTCACCTGGTCCCGCCCCTCCTTGCCCACCAGGTTCACGTGTGTCTAAGGTGGGACAGTGTTCAGGTTTTGGCACAGAATCCCTCCCCACCTGGGCTGCCCACCCTTCTTGCCCCCTGTCTCCAGCACCCCC